CAGCATGGCACCTGGGTCGTATGACTGCCTGTGATTGTAGACGACCCTATGTATCATGAAACCAGCCACAGCTCGTGAGATATGTGTACAAGGTCACTTTTGGTGGTAAGTTCGGTTCAGAGTATAAGTTCACTTTGCTGTTGCCTTGACCTTTTGCTCGTGGTAAATGATCTTGTGTGAGTAACTTCGTTTTTGTTTTGTTTTCTACAGTAAGTTCGTTTCCTCTGTTAAGTTCGTTTCGGTGCCTGTGTATGTAAGCAGCAGCTCACGCGTGAGCTGCTCTCAGCTGGTCAGCTTGCCTCTTGAATTGTATGGTATGTCTAATAGAAGTGGTTATGCGGAACGGTGTCTGGGTCGTATGGTTGCCTGTGATTGTAGATGACCCTGTGGATCATGAAACCAGCCCCAGCTCGTAAGTGGGTCTGAATATGTGTACAAGATCACTTTTGGTGGTAAGTTCGTTTCAGGGTGTAAGTTCGTTTCTGCACGTCTGATGAACATACTCAAATGTGTATACGGGTAGACTACAGTAAGTTCGTTTCTTCCGTTGAGTGCGTTTCTTCGTGTCGGGGGAGCACACCTACTGTAGTATATGCGTAGACTAAAGTAAGTTGGTTCCTCACTTGGACTATGTTAAGTTCGTTTCCTACAGTAAGTTCGTTTCCTACAGTAAGTTTGTTTCTCAGCGTAAGTTCGTTTCTCAGCGTAAGTTCGTTTCGTGCAGTAAGTTTGTTTCTCATCGTAGGTTCGTTTCTTGCGTTAGTTTCGTTTCTCACTGTAAGTTCGTTTCTAGGCTTAAGTTCGTTTCTCTCAGTAAGTTCGTTTCTTGTGGGTTCCGAGCACAGTAAGTTCGTTTGCTAGTTAAGTTCGTTTGTGCATGCGCTAAGTGTGTGCCTCGGAGAGCCCTTTTTTTGGGGGTCTCTCAAATGAAGATGCTCACAAGGGTATGGGGGCCCCGTTAGGCGCTCCGTCGAAAAAAGCGATGCTACTACGTAGCATCGGGACGCAGGTAGCTAGGTCATTTATCTATGTATCCCTCTTCTCTTGTTAGGGAATTATTGCTACCAAACAACCCTCAGAAGCTTGTAGATGTCTTTGATCTATGCCCTTGTTCAACTATTCATCTCAACATCTTCTGGCTAGGCAATACAACTCGTGGATTCCCTTAGGCAATACTTTATTAAGAATGCTAGGAGAGCACTGACCGAAGTATGTTGGGGAATGACCTGTACCTCGCAAGTTCTCACTTCGCATAGCTGTGATAGTAGTTTCACGGTGATGTGTTTCAGATAGCCATCTTGTGAGCTATATTTACTGTTATAAGGGTGCTGCTCAATTTATGCAGTGTAATCCGTCCCGGACGGATTGTTCTTCGTACGGATACCCACTTCAGTAGCTGAGGCAAGCCTTCACTGCAGTGTGTTCCGTCCTGGACGGATTTTTCGATTATGCATCTCTGTTGCACTCCAGAGGTAAGCCTTCACTGCAGTGTAATCCTTCCTAGACGGAAAGTGCTGTAGCAGGGCTGGCATATGAGTTCTATGGTCTCTTTCTGCAGTGTAATCCTTCCCAGACTGTTTTTTCAGTGGGAAAGCTCACACACTTACTTGAAGCAAGCCATCCTTGCCGCGTAATACTTCCCAGACAGAGATTGCTTGAGCAGTCTTGCCACACCAGTTCTATAGGTGTTCCTTGCACTGTAATCCTTCCTGGACGGGTTTTTGAGTGAAGGCTCTCACTCACATAGCTGAGACCAGCCTCTACTGCAGTGTGGTCCGTCCTGGACGGAAATTTTAGCTGGAGGGAAGGCATAGAAGTGATACGGCCTTCCATGCAGCGTAATCTGTCCCGGACAGTTTTTTCACTCCTTGAACAAATTTCTGTGGTAATGATACAATCCTATATGGCTTGAGCAAGCCTCTACTACAGTGAAATCTGTCTCGGACGGAACTTGCAGCAGCAGGGAAGGCATACAAGTCACACAAACCTCCCTTGTAGTGCAATCTGTCCCGAACAATTTATTCAGCACTTGAAAATTTTCTGAGGCAATGCTACATAACCACATAGCTCATGCAAGCCTCTGCTGCAGCCATATCCGTCCCGGACGGTTATTGCA